TTAGTAGAGATGGGGTTTCACCATGCTGGCCAGGATGGTCTTAATCTCTTGACCTCATGATCCGCCCGCCTCGGCCTCCCAAAGTGCTGGGATTACAGGAATGAGCCACCATGCACGGCTAGATGGAAATTCAGAAGGTAAAAAAGTTTGAAAATGTAAAGTAATAGGTATTTCATGTATTATTACTAGTATCTTAGAATTCTATGGTATGGACCCTAAGATCAGTGGATTAATGAAGTTCTAGAAAAGTCAATGAGTATTATAAATGCAAATGGATGAACTATGCAGTATCCTTCCGTTCCTTCCTTCTAGGCTGTGCTCCTGTGTCTGCTGGATTTATTCCCCATCCTGGAGAAAACCGTGCACTGGAAAGGAGATGGAGCTCGACCCACTACCCATTGTGATGAGGTCCTGCAGCTGATCCTGACTCACATGGAGCCAGAGCACCGCCTTCTCTTACGCAGGACCTATGCAAGAAACCTGCCGGCTTTTGTGAAGAGGTGAGTCCTTGGGTTTTTATGTTATTAATTTATAGAGACAGGATCTTGCTATGTTGCCCGAGCTGGTCACAAACTCCTGGCCTCAAGCAATCCTCCCACCTCAGCCTCCCAGAGTGCTGGGATTACAGGCATGAGCCACTGCACTGGTGTCATATTTTCTTTCATCTTTAGGTTGGGGATCCTAACTGTCCGGCACTTGAAGAGGCTGGAGAGAGTCATCATTGGTTATCTGGAAGTTTATGATGGACCTGAGGAGGAAGCCAGATTGAAGATATTGGAAACCCTAAAACTTCTCATGCAACATACTTGGCCCAGGTAATAGCAGCCTTAAGGTGCAAAACTCAGCTGATTTTCTCTTGAGAACTTGCTTGGATGTACTTAATGCATTTAGTACAAAGTATTAAATGTGTATCCTGTATTTGAATACCTCCTATTTTCACACACCTATAGCATTTTAAACTGAGAAAATGGCATTAGAAAGATAAAATGGACTATAATTACTTGAGGTGTGCATATTTGACCCTTTTACCAAGTATCAGTTCCAGATTTTGACACTATTAAACCACTTCTCTTTGAAACTCTAGTATATCTTTAGAATGGTTTAGATTGGTGTTCGGCAGAATCCCCATCTAGGTACTCTTTGATGCCCCACAGGGAAAAAAAATTCTGTGGTCAAATAGGTTGGGAAACCATACAGGTTGTACATCTCTCTAGATTTAGAACGCATGTTAGAAGACTAAAGGCCATTTAGAAGTATTGCAGTAAAGACGTTTGCTTAACTTTGTTAATCCTAATGTTCTTTAAATCTAATTGAGAGTAGAGCATTTCATAGCACATCATTTAACATCTGCAGAGCAGTGATCAGAATACCAATCTAGAGGCTGGGTGTGGTGGTTCACGCCTGTAATCCCAGCACTTTGGGAGGCCAAGGTGGGTGGATCACCTGAGGTCAGGAGTTCAAGACCAGCCTGGCCAACATGGTGAAACCCCGTCTTTACGAAAAATACAAAAATTAGCTGGGGGTGGTGGTGCACACCTGTAGTCCCAGCTACTCAGGAGGCTGAAGCAGGAGAATCACTTGAACCTGACAGGAGTTTGCAATGAGCTAAGATTGTGCCACTGCACTCCAGACTGGGTGATGGAGTGAGACTGTCTCAAAAAATTGAAATTAAAAAAAAAAAAAAGAATACTAATCTAGGATATGCTTGCTTGGAAATCATTCCAAATCTGGCTTGAGGTAGGTGTCAGGAACTGGAACCCAAACTGTTGAGTCATCAAGGGTCTCTTGCATAGCTGAAAGTTGAGTTCAGTCAGAGAATCCGGTGCCCTGATGACATAACAGTGTCTATTTAGGACCATATTCTCTCACTTCCTTATAAATATGCAAGGAATCCAGAGTAATGTTCCCCTATGACAACCTTTCTCTTAGTCATATTGGTAACTAGATTGCATTTGTCTACTATCTTTCTTCCGTACTGAATTATAAACTCCAGGATAACGGAAAACCATATCTATTATATTCTCCCAAAGTATGCTTAGTACATGGTATTAGGTATACAAATATTTGAAGAATGAACGGACTGGAAGAGAATGAATCACTGGATGAATAAAATCGAATCAGATTGTCAGGCCTTTAAAGAGCAGAGACCAAGATTCCAAGAAGGGAGAGTGAATAAATGTAGGAAGTTGGAAAAGGAATGTGTTGTGTGTGTGTATGAGCGAGTGGAGCATGGGAAATGGAAAATAGAGCCGATTATAAGTTGAATAACAGATTGAGGGCTGAGAGGCATCCAAACTGTAGGAAAATGAGAAGTATTTTTTAGATAAAGAGATAAAAACTTTTTTCTCCCAGTCACACATCTTTCCATAAATATGTGTTGTGCATGTTTTCACATTACAAGTTAAATTATTTTCCACCTTTTCTTAAGGTTTCTTATGGTTTTTTACTGTGATAAAAATTTTCTATTTTAAAGCGAACAGTTCAGTGTGATTAAGTACAATCACAATATTGTGCAATCACTACTATCATCCATTTCCGGAGCTTTACCAAAGCAATGAAAACTTTTAGAAAAGTTAATGGTTACAGGTAAGTAGGCTGGACTTCACTGATGGTGAGCTAGGATCTGAAATTAAATGACAGAAAATTCAAATTGACACTTAAGTCTCAGAAGCCAAGCTTATTTCCCTTACTCTTTAAATTCCAGGCCTGAGATGGCATTAAAGTTAAAGCATTGAGGGCTCTCTCCATGCATAGTTCAGTTAATAGAGTTGAAAAATACAAGTATAGGCCCTTGTTTAAGGGAGATCCTGGCTTCCCCTGTTCAGCCCATAAAGCAGCTGTTTGCTTACAGTAGAATCAAGCTATGTGTCTGTGTGTGTCATATTTTCTCTTTCGATATGCTAACAGGAGACTTGAGGGTAAGAAATCTGGAGGCTGTCTTTGGTTCTGTTTTTAGGTCTTTTTTATTTAACCTTAACCGTAATTCCTTAATTTATGAAATAAGGGCTTTCCACTTGACAGTCTTTGAAGTCTCTTCCAATTTTAATATCCTGATTTAGAATATGAACATAGCTTTTCTTCTTAATTCCAGAATTTCCTGCAGACTTGTGGTCTTACTGAAGGCTCTCTTGAAACTGATATGTGATGTAGCAAGGGATCCAAGCCTTACACCCCAGTCTGTTAAGAGCACCCTGCTACAGGAGGCCACAGACTGCCTGATTCTCCTGGACTGCTGCTCTCAAGGACGGGTGAAGGTAAGGCAAACTGAAACTTGGCTTCACTTGGGCCTCATTATCCTTATTTAATTACTGTGATTGATTATAATTTACTATGTGCCTGACCAAGTCTGAAAATGAACATGGAGAGTTTTAGGTCTCCGTATGAGCCCTCTAGCATTCAACACAGCTTGATCTTTTTTCTTACTGATCTTTTAAAGCTATTCAGAACCATTTAGAACTAAAGGCAGGAGGATCAGCACATGTTACCGGGGCTAAGGACAAGAGAGAATGGGCAATAGAAAAGCATTATGATCAAATATTTGTAAAACTTCTGTTCTGTTCTAGTCTTCTGAATTAAAAATAAAGTATGCACTCCAGCATGGTGACAAAGCGAGATTCCCTCTCAAAAAAAAAAAAAGGTAGAAATAATGGGCTGTTAGCTCCCAGGAACATCAACAGAGCATTTGAGACGTTTCCAGTTTTTTAGGGGAAACCATCTCTTAGGTAGATGTTTTCCAATATTCTTAATTTATCTACATGGAAATTCTTCCTTTGGTGTCAAAATTCACAAAAGTTCATTTCTCAAAGCCACAGCATATAATACGTATGTATTTCTATGTATTCAGTAAACTATTGTTTCTTTTTTTTTTTTTTTGAGGGAGAGTCTTGCTCTGTCTCCCAAGCTGGAATGCAGTGACCCAGTCTCAGCTCACTGCAACCTCTGCCTTATGAGTTCAAGTGATTCTCCTGCCTCAGCCTCCTGAGTAGCTGGGAATATAGGCCAGCACCACCATGCCTGGCTAATTTTTGTATTTTTAGTAGTGATGGGGTTTCACCACATTGGTCAGGCTGGTCTCGAACTCCTGACCTCATGATCTACCTGCCTCAGCTTCCCAAAGTGCTGAGATTACAGGCGTGAGCCACTGCACCCAGCCACTATCTCATTTCTTACCTCTTTTAGAAATCTTTAGTTAAAAGATTGAAGGCAGCATGAAAAGAAATACATGCCGTAACTCACTGGACAATCTACCCAGCAGGAAAAAAAAAAAAAAAGAAATTCATATCCTAAAAATATGTAGAGATAGTATGAATTGTTATTTTACTAGTTTATTCCAATGATTTCATCTTAGCTCTTTAATCTTGGGCAGTTTTCAAGCCCTAGATGCAGCTGAATTTGCTTTGGCTGGAATTCTGCTGCTTCATGAGCCAGCAGATTTGCAAGCACATTAACACAGTTTTTAAAGCAACACCTTCAACACATAAAAGCTATATAAATTTAAAAATTTAAAATTAAAAAACCTAATACCAACTCTGTTGAGTGACCTGTCCCCAAGTGTGATCCATTCTTTCCTCCTTTGAGTTAGGATACCAAGGAAGAAGAATCAAGCAAAAGGGGAAACAAGTAATTAAAGAAAAAAATCAAGGCCTCTTTGGTCTCATGTTTCAGGGTCTCCTGGCCAAAATTCCCCAAAGCTGTGAAGACAGCAAGGTGGTGAACTGTATCAGAAAAGTCCAGCAGATTTCTGAAGGCGCTCCCTACGATGGAACTTAAGACTTGCATTACTTTCCCAAGACAAAAGGACTCTCTTTCCATCCCAAATTGTATGAATGGAGTTATTTAAGAAAAAAGGTATTTTTACACTAAACTTTGTAAGTTAAAGCTGCTTTTTCCTCCTTTCCTTTTACCTCCACAGGAGTAGGGAAAGTAGAGCAAGACAAAATTGAATTCCTTCCATTTCTAAATAAAGTTTGGGAGAAAAAAGGACACCAAGGAATTTAGCATTTAAAATTTAGAAATATTTACATCCATCATCTCATTCCAGATTCAAGAACTCATCTGTTAAATTTCTTGGGCACAAGCTGTTACTTCAACACATATGCTATAAAAACACTCTCGTTCACAACTTAGGGCTTTCTTCACTCACTCCAGATTTTCACTCACTCCAGATTTCTTGCCTCACTGATGTGGCATAAATAATAAAAACACAAATATTGTGTTTAGTACAACACAAAAGAGCAAAAACTGGAGGTGTTTATATGATTAAGATTAAAAAAAAAAAAGTAGTTCTGTATGTTCAGTCCTGGTATAAGTGTTTAAAGAGAAATCACGTGGTTTTGGCCTTGGCCATGGGCTCTGTCTCTTGCTCATATTCTATTTCCACATAGGCTCGTTTTCTCCGCAGTGGTCCTTTCAAGGGCATTTTGCCTTTGTGTTTCACACTAAGGGGCTTTTCTTCTTCCTCTTCACTGGAGGATTTACCATCCTGATCTTCATCACTGCTGGCATCCAGTTTATCCATATCCTAATATGGGGAGAGAAAAGATAAAGGAGGGAAAACACTAGATTTCTGCAAACTACCTTCATTGTCCCCTCAATTTAGAACAGACTAGAGAACTGATGCCTGTGCCTGTGTTCAGAAACTTTCCCTATATTTTTTTCTTTTTTGGAGACTGGGTCTTGCTTTGTTGCCCAAGCAGGAGTGCAGTGGCATAGTCATGGCTCACTGAAGCCTCAAACTTCTGTAGTCAAGCAATCTTCCCACCTCAGCTTCCTGAGTAGCTGGGACTACAGGCAGTCGCCACCACTCCCAGCTGGTTTTTAATTTTTTCATCCTTTTTTGACACGGAGTCTCGCCCTGTGGCCCAGGCTGGAGTGCAGTGGTGAGATTCAACTCACTGCAACCTCTGCCTCCTGAGTCAAGTGATTCTTCTGCCTTAGCCTCCCAAGTAGCTGGGATGACAGGCATGTGCTGCTGCGCCTGGCTAATTTTTGTAATTTTAATAGAGACAGGGTTTTGCCATGTTGGCCAGGCTGGTCTTGAACTCCTGACCTTAGGTGATCTGCCTGCCTTGGCCTCCCAAAGTGCTAGGATTACAGGAGTGAGCCACTGCACCTGGCCATGATTTTTAAAAGTATTTAGGCTGGGCACGGTGGCTCACGCCTGTAATCCCAGCACTTTGGGAGGCTGAGATGGGCAGATCACGAGGCCATGAGATCGACACCATCCTGGCCAACATGGTGAAACCCTGTCTCTACTAAAAATACAAAAATTAGCCGTGTGTGGTGGGACACACCTGTGGTCCCAGCTGCTTGAGAGGCTGAGGCGGAAGAATCGCTTGAACCCAGGAGACGGAGGTTGGAGTGAGCCGAGATTGTGCCACTGCACTCCAGCCTGGCGACAGAGCAAGACTCCGTCTCAAAAACAAAGTAAATTTTTTTTTTTATTAGAAATGAGGTCTCACTATGTTGCCCAGGCTGGTCTCAAACTCCTGAGCTCAAGTGATCCTCCCATTTTGGTCTCCCAAAGTGCTGGGATCATGGGTGTGAGCCCCTGTGCCTGGCCACCTCCCTGTTGCTGTTGTTGTTTTTGCTGCAGGCCAAAGGATAATCATTTTACCCATGAAGCTCACCTCAAAATCACTTAGGTCACTCTCATCTACCTCATCATCTTCGACAAATTCTCTTTTCCCCACATCCTATAAATAAAACATAACTGTTAGGTTCAGAATATATAATGAAGATTCAGATTAGACATCTAAATAAGTACAAAATAACATACTCAGAACCAGAGTCTTAGGCAACCAAAATTTAATTCTTCTGAAGTTTAATGCTTCTGAATTTTAAAAAATTTTAGGGCTATCAAATAATTCTTTTTCTTGATTTAAAATTATTAGCAGTAAAACATCCTCATTATGGTTAAGAACTAGATACAGACAGGAAAGGGTTTATAATTTGTCACCTTGCAGGAACAAAACTGTTAATGGTTTGTTGTTAGCCTGAAGAGCAGCGCAACCAATGCTAAACCAAAGTTAATCTTATGACAGAAAAGAGAAGACAAATTATTTTTAGTTAGGTGACTAAAGATTATACTCTTGTCTCTCAGTTATATACAAATAGTATCTAAAAGGTTTGGCAAAACAAAAACAAGACTTACTTCCTCATCATCATCTTCATCATCTTTTTCCTCAGCATCTGAAGAGTCACTTTCTGCCTCCTGTTGTTCCAGGGCCTTGTCAAAGGCATGAATGGGGAAGTTGTAGATGTCTCCATACTGAAGAACATAAACACAGACTGGCTTTAACTACATTTGGATGTGACACTTCAAGTTCCACGGTCTGTGGAGCATATTATTTTTTTTCCGCAGTGATTAAATCAGAATACTTAATTTGATGAGTAATATTTTTAAGTGTAGAGCCACCAGTGTCTTAAAAAAGCATGTTTTGAACATTTAAATCATCATTAATTAGTATCAAATAGGTAACTTCTATGGAGGATGGGACCACATCATTTTAAATGTAATAGTCTATAAAACCCATGCACTGGGACAAATGTAATTTTGCTGACAAGGATAAATAATAAGGAGACAGCATAGTTTAGTCATGTTGTCTGTTTAAACAACAGTAATTTTAAAAAAGAGAATAAAACCTTAGGCCTGGCGCGGTGGCTCATGCCTGTAATCCAAGCATGTTGGAGGCCAAAAGCGGGCAGATCCTCTGAGGTTGGGAGTTCAAGACCAGCCTGACTAACACGGTGAAACCCCGTCTTTATTTTTTAAATTGTGTAAAAAAAAATTTATAAAAATAAAAAAGAATAAAACCTTAAAAGACTAGGGTAATTATGGAGGAGAAGGAAACCCTGTGGCTTTTATATAGAAATCTGGAGTTGCTGCCTTGGGGAATAGAGTTGAGAATAATGGCAAAAAGGGAAAGGTCTCTTACAGTGAATGGAGTATCAAGGGTAACCAAAGCATTTTATGTGCTTACATTAATTAACTAAAATAAGCCAGGCTGATTTGTATTTATTTTATTTCAGGGATAAAATTCAAGCGGAGATCTTTATATCATGTTAAAAAACATTTCCCAGTGTGTCTTACTATCATACTACCACTTAAAATATAAGTACCCCAAGGTACTGGCTTTCTCACCGTATCTTGTTTCAGTCTCTCCAGTAATTCCTTCTCAATGGCATTGTCTAGCTGAGCAGCTATTAATGCCTTTTCCTATAAGAGGGAAAGAGCAAATCCATTTAATTCATCAGTGCTCATTATTCATTTTATAAAAATGGAAGAAACTACCAAGTTTTTTAATAAGAAAGACAATGTAATCATTTCCCCTTCTTGCTATTACTGGCTTTTGCCTTTCCAGCCAGATATATTTCTTCTTTCTCTTGCAAACTTTCTTGGGAATGTTTCCATTTTGAAATTCCTATGGTTTTGTAAACAACCTTCTAAATTCTAACAAAGCCTTTGACAGATACAAAACATGTAGGACTATGTACCTCTAAGTGTCTCATAAAAAATCTAGCAGCTCTGGAGCCAGACTTTGTAAAAGCTGAGAAAAGGGAACAGAAATCTTCATTCGTTTACATTTTCTAAAATCATGCAAGATTCTATGTGATAGAATAGGTAAAAATTAAGTGATCTCTCACCGGAGATGATATAACAGTGATGTTCCATGTTGTTCTCTAGAGTGGAGTGCTTATACCTCAAGGGTGATCTGCTAAAGTGTAGGAAGAAAATACTCAAAACTTCTATGTATCTCTTTTTCCTTAAAAAATTAAATGTCATGGGTCAGGTGTGTTGGCTGACTGCCTGTAATCCTAGCACTTTGGGAAGCCAAGGTGGGTGGATCAACTGAGGTCAGGGGTTCGAGACCAGCCTGGCCAACATGGTAAAACCCCATCTCTACTAAAAATAAAAAAATGAGCCAGGCATGGTGGTGTGTGCCTGTAATCCCAGCTACCCGAGAGGCTGAGGCAGGAGAATCAGTGGAACCCAGGAGGTGGAGGCTGCAGTGAGCCGAGAATGCACCACTGCACTCCAGCGTGGGTAACAGAGTGAGACTCCATCTCAAAAATAAATAAATAAATAAACAAACATCATTACAACTGACATTGGTGCCTTGACTGTCTATAAATAGTTGCGTGTCAGATACAGTGATCAAGATACCTCAAGGAAGGAATACTGCACATAGCACTTGCAAGTGGTAGTCTCACTCCTTTATTTAGATGATTAACTGTTTATGTTTGCTTAGTTAAGTGGATTCATAGATGACACTGAATATTCTGCTGAAGATAGGGAGTAGTCCTAAAGGTATGCTAATTATCTAATGGGTTAGTATTTTAAAAAGTTGTAGAACCAGGCCCACGTGATGGCTCATGCCTGTAATCCCAGCACTCTGAGGGGCCAAGGTGGGTAGATCACCTGAGGTCTGGAGATCGAGACCAGCCTGGCCAATGTGGTGAAACCTCATCTCTACTAAAAATACAAAAAATAAGCCAGGTGTGGTGGCACATGCCTGTAATCCCAGTTATTCAGGAGGCTGAGGCACAAGAATTGCTTGAACCCAGGAGGTGGAGGTTGCAGTGAGCCAAGTTGGTGCCACTGCACTCCAGCCTGGGTGACAGAGCTAGAGTTATAGAACCTAAAGATAATCCGTGCATTTTCACAAAAAGAAAAATGTTCCAAACTTGCTAATCTTTTTCTAAGATAACATTTGGCTGTCAGCAGTATGTAACCCGGTAGAAGTTTAAAAAAATAAACAGACTTAATCTGTTTCTCCCAGACTAAGGCAACCTTTTAATAGTTTGAGGAAAACAACTGTATTTTGAAAGAAAAACTGGTTATGTGCACATTTTGAAAAGAAAAGTGATAATTAGATATGGCACTGCTGAAAACATGTCTCCTATAAAAACTGCAATCACACACTTTAAGAACGTGGAAAAGAATACTGTAATCCATTTAAAATTCTTGCAAATCTACATTTTTCAGAGGGCCTGAACAGTTTACATAAGTGATGGTGACTGAATCTATAAGAGCCCACCAGAAAGAAAATGTAGAAAATATGAATATCATAACAATAATTTACCTCTCTTCTTTTCTCCCTACGTTCCACCTTCTTACTCAAAGGAACCAGTTTCTTCCTAAGGGAAAGAAAATATATCAGAAAATCCAAGTTCATGTGCTATGTGTTCCTTTTTAGAGATAAGAAAAAAGGACTGGAATTGGTTCTGTAGGGCGCAGCTTAATACATCAAGATGTTCTATTTAAATGCTTCTAGACATTTAATTCCATAAAAAGTTACATATTTTTACATATATTTTAATGGCTATTTTTGTTTAGGCATTCTGGGATTCTCAGGGCATCTGCCATGCTAAAATTAAGACTTCAGTGAACTGAGAAAAAAGAAATTTCTCTTTAAGTCTGACATCATCTTTAGCATTCTCTGTAGATCACAATAAAAAAGAATTAGGGCCTAACAGTCTTAGAGAAGGTACTCTATTAATTCTGGAGATTTCATACCACTTTTTAAAATTAGTTTTCAGTGAATCCAGAGTAAAGTTCTTACATTCCTGTATATTCACATTTCTTAGCTCATTTTCAAATCTCTAATGTTAAGATTCCCTCAGGGAGTTACAGAGAAAATTTTCTGAAGGCCAGGCATGCTGGCTTATGCCTGTAATCCCAGCACTTTGGGAGGCTGAGGCAGGTGGATCACTTGAGGTCAGGAATTCTAGACCAGCCTGGCCAACATGGTGAAACTCCATCTCCACTAAAAGTACAAAAAAAAAAAAACTACAAAAAAAATTAGCCCAGTGTGGTGATGCATGCCTGTAATCACAGCTACTTGGGAGGCTGAGGTGGAGGTTGCAGTGAGCTGAGAGAGCGCCACTGTACATTTCAGTACCGCCACAGAGCGAGACTGTCTCAAAAGGACTTCCTTTTCTTTCTGAATTTTCTGAAAGATGTTCAGACAAGCAGGGTGATAATCAAGTTGTATTCCATTTTAAAAGTCCTGTCATATCAAAGGACACACCTTTAGTCTAAGCTAAAGTTTCTTCTTAGTACATCATAACACACACTCCACAAAGTTGAATAGAAAGTCCCGAAGTTTTACAATCTCTCAACTTCAAAACAACTTTCATGAAAAGACAGATTTAAAGATAATGAATGATCCAAATACTTACTGTCGCTTTAGTGTAAGTTTTCTAATTCGAATTAGGTATTGGGTGATCTTGGTGAATCTCTGCTTACATTTGTGTCGAATGAAACGGGGCCAGTAAATCAGATTTTCATCTATTTGCTCTAGTGCTTTCTCATAGTTTTTACTAAGCCGGACCTACCAAACAGAAAAAGGAAGTTTGAAGGGCAAGTGTAAATGAATCATTAGGTTTTCACTGTCAGTGACACCTATGGCCTTAAAAGTTTAGATATGGTTAAGGAAGAGGGCATCATGATCAAGCATGTGGCTGTCATGCTCTTGATTAGTGGTCACTATAGTTTTGTCGTAAAGCTTACCCGTTCCCAGAGACGCCGAGGAAAAGCTGCTCGTTCTATAACCTTCATATACAAGTAGCACTGTCCTGAGGATAAAGTAAAATAGCTTTAATATTATTGACAGAGACTAAAGAACATCCCTGTAAAAGCTGTGGAGCAGTTCTTCTAGAAGTTAAAACCGGGGAGTTACCTTTCTCTTCTTTAATAGTTGCATACTGGCTATTTGCCAGGGGACAAGATGACCGATTACAGAGTCCAGTCAGGCTGTATTCATTTCTGCAGAAGCTCTGAGTCTTGGTTCTAGAATGGAAGAAAAGAAACAAAGATTATAAAATGAGCTAGCAAGAAGGCAAGTGAAGGAATCGTTGACCAAGCTGTAAATCCAGACTCACCTTATTTTGAAGGAACAAAATTGCTTGTTTCCTAGTGTATCCCAGATAACCTGCAAGACACAGTAAAAACCCATTTAAATTGCTCAGCTCCAAGAAATGCCATATTAGTTCAAGAAGGGAATGCCCAAGGACCAGGAATGGGAGGAAGAAAGGTTTTGTAAAATAGCCTAACTTGTTTACTTTTTAAAATACAAACAGCAGATTCTTATAGAAAAGCGAAATACAGATCAGCAATAATCATAACTCCAATATCCAGAGATAAAATTTCATTACTATCATGTAAATATTTTTCCAGATTTTTTTTGGACATCTGTGAGATCACGAGATCACATTATATATATTTCATAATTTCCTTTTTTACTTACATTCATTATCCATTACTAAAGGCTTCATGGGCTGGGTGTGATGGCTCATGCCGGTAATCCCAGCACTTTGGGAGGCCAAGCTGGCAGATCACTGGAGACCAGCCTGGGCAACATGGTGAAACCCCGTCTCTACTAAGAATACAAAAATTAGCTGGGCATGGTGGCAGGTGCCTGTAATCCCAGCTAAGGCAGGAGAATCACTTGAACCCGTGAGGCAGAGGCTGCGGTGAGCAGATATCACACCATTGCACTCCTGCCTGGGCAACAGAGTAAGACTTTGTCTCAAAAAAAAAAAAAAAAAAAAAGGCTTCATGGTATTAGATTTTTGGATATACATACCTTAATTTTATCTCATTGAGGGCAAAGAAAATTATCTACTGCTATCTTCCAATAAATAATGTGCTCCTTTTTCATTCAGCATTATAGATTTAATTTATGTGAGGCACTGACATCTACAAGTCCTGACACACAGTAGCCACTCAAGTGTTTGCTGAATCAAAGTATACTCTTTAGAGTTTTATCTGTCTAGTAAGGGAAAAAGATATGTAAACAAAGTATCACAAAATAGCAGTAGGTCTAAAGGCCACATAGCATGCCTAAGAAGATGACAGCCTTTGAGTGCGCTGCCTTCAGGAACTGGGGGAAAAACGCTTTACCACTATTAAAGGAAAAATATGAAGAGGGCCAAAGAATAAAATACACTTTGAGAATTTTATAGGTGTGTCCAGTGGGGGATGGTAGGAAACAGGTAAGAAGAATGAGGGAACTCATTTAGGCTTGTGGCTTTAAGTATCATCTCTAAATGGATGATTCTGAAATTGTTATTTCCTGGTGAGACTTCTTCTCTGAGCACCAAATTTGTATAAGATATCTCTACTTCAATATCTAAGAGGCGCCAGGTGTGGTGGCTTGTGCCTGTAATCCCAGCACTTTGGGAGACCAGGCGGATCACAAGGTCAAAGGTTCGAGACCAGCCTGACCAACATGGTGAAACCCTGTCTCTACTAAAAATACAAAAATTAGCCGGGCACGGTGGCTCACGCCTGTAATCCCAGCACTTTGGGAGGCCGAGGCGGGTGGATCACGAGGTCAAGAGATTGAGACCATCCTGGTCAACATGGTGAAACCCCGTCTCTACTAAAAAAAAAATACAAAAAATTAGCTGGGTATGGTGGTGCATGCCTGTAATCCCAGCTACTCAGGAGGCTGAGGCAGGAGAATTGCCTGAACCCAGGAGGCGGAGGTTGCGGTGAGCCGAGATTGTGCCATTGCACTCCAGCCTGGGTAACAAGAGCGAAACTCCATCTCAAAACAACAACAACAACAACAACAACAACAACAACAACAAAAATTAGCTGAGCATGGTGGCATGAGCCTGTCCCAGCTACTTGGGAGGCTGAGGCAGGAGAATCATTTGAACCCAGGAGGTGGAGGTTGCAGTGAGCTGAGATGGTATGAGTGTACTCCAGCCTGGGTGACAGAGTGACAGTCCATCTCAAATAAATAAATATCTAAAAGGCAACATAAGTATTAACATATACACATGGAGTTCTCAATTCCACATCCCTCATAAGAACAGTCTTCCCTAGAGTTCCCCCACTTCAATAAATAAAATCAGCATAGAACTATATATTTATATCCTAAATCCTTCCATTTCTTCTTCACTTAATCCATCACCAAAGTCTTGTCAGTTATACTGAAATAACAGGTCTCAAATTCATCAATTTCTTTTCATCTCCACCATTAAATTACTACCTTAGGTAAAGCTATTTTCGTTTTTTAAAAATTTTATTTACTTTAGCGACAGGGTCTCTCTGTCATCCAGACTGGAGTGCAGTGGCGCCAACATAGCTCATGGCAGCCTCCGACTCTTGGGCTCAAGTAATCCCCCTGCCTCCGCCTTCCAAGTAACTGGGACCTCAGGCAAGCACCACCACATCCGGCTAATTTTTTATTTTTTTGTAGAGATAGAGTCTCACTTTGTTTCCTAAGCTGGAATCCAACTCTGGCTGCAGGCGTTCCTCCAGACTCAGCCTCCCAAAGGGTTGGGATTACAGGTATGAGCCACCGTATCTGGCTCGAAGCAAACTTTGTATACCCTAGTCTCCTTGCTTTCATTCTTTCTCTCCAAAAATCCTTCACGCAGCAACTAGACAATTTTTCACAAACATAGATCATTAAAAGGCCTAAAAACACTTCCTTCAAGACTCCACGTGACCTCGCCCTGGCAAGCATATCTAATTTCATGACCTGTCTTACATTGTCACTTTGATGACCCTTATATTCATTCTTTCATATCTTCAGCTCTTTGTATTTTACTGTTCCTATTGCCCTGATTGCTTTTTCCTCAGCTCAGTGACTGGCTTATTCTTACCTTTTAGATCTCAACTCAAATACCTCCTGTTCAGGGAAACCGTCTATCTAATCTTCTGTGAGTACCCCATCTGAAGTGGTCTTCATCACCCCTGGACTTTCTTTCACAGTACGATTATACAGTATACTTGTTAATTTATTTGTTCACTTGTTTACTGTGTCTCCCCCAACCAGTGTTCCAGGAGAGTTGGGGTGTTTTTTCTGGTTTGTTAACCAAATACTCAGTAATTAGCACAATGCCTGGCACATTGTAAGCACTTAAATATTTCTCCAACAAAAAACTCAATGAATCTTGGATGCTTCCGAAATTATGACTTTAGCAAATGTAAAGAAAAGCCTAACACAGGAAACGCAGATGGAAGAGTAACGCGCACATGGATGAGAAGGACGCTTAAACTTGGAGTCAACTTCGCCAAATCCCCTGCCGCCCCCACCCCCTACCCCACGTCCGGAGCTGACAGCTGACAACATGGCACGATGCTATGCTAGGCACGAAAGACCGGACACATCGACTCCACGGGCTGAGGTGACGGCGTCCCATGCTCACAACCCGGCCGGGGCAGCGGGCAGGAGACCCCTGCTAGACATGCGTGAGAACCCACGTTGGAAAATCGGGGTTCCAGAAGCCTAGCATCCGGAGCGGCACGAGGGAGCAGGCCAGTTGAGTACGCGTTTTCTAAGTGTCCTAAAGTGGGCAAGATTCCCTGCGCGAACCCCGGGTGTCAGAACAACGGGAGGAGTCTCACATCATCCGACTGCATGGTGTCCGCGGTTCAGCGTGCAGCGTCCAGCCGGATCCCGGGCGCTGACATGCTTCTTCCGGGAAACGACTTCCGGAACGCCGAGCCTCACCTATCGCGAGAAACGCTGAGACTCTGGGAGGTGCGCAGCGTCCCCTGGCGGTCTCGCCGCCGCCGCGCGCGCTTCCGGGTCCCCAGCAGTCTGTGGTGTCTTCGTGAGCCAGCGATGCTGGGGCTGGTTCCCGGGCGCTTCCTGGAACTGTAAACCCGGTTGGATGCCTCGTTCGACCCGCGGAAGGCAGGACGCGCGCAGGCGGCCGAATTCTGGACCGCGGGGACCGCGGGCGCTAGGCGTGCTTCCCCAGAGCCCGGGTCGTGACCGTTCGTGAGGACGGGACCCCTCCCGGCCAGGCCTCGCCTCTGCCGGGAGAACGCTGGGGAAAGGTGCGGGCGGCGCGGCGCGGAGGGGCTGGGTCCCCGGTCTTCGGAGTCCCGGCAGACCCTGCCCCGCAGACCCTGCCCCGCAGACCCTGCCCTCGCTCGCTCCACACACCCACGTTGGGTGCAGCACCGAGTCCTGACTTTGGAAACTCACAGATCAGAACTTGAATTCCGCCTGGTTTGAAAAACTACTGACCGGATGGAAAGAACACACCAGTAAAAATAAAGATCTGTCTTCTCATTGCCTATTTGAGACAACAAACACAGCTGACAGAGGAGGAAAATAAGAAAAGTGGAGGTCTAGAAACTACGGAAAAAGAATGGAAGCCTAACAACTCTTACGCTAGGGGAAAAAGAAAGTCGTTACTAGTTCGTATCATTTTACAAAAGAAAGACTATCGGCTGGGCGGAGCACGGTGGCTCTCGCCTGTAATCTCAGCACTTTAGGAGGCCTAGGCGAGCCGATCACCTGAGGCCAGGAGTTCCAGACCAGCCTGGCCAACATAGTGAAATCCCATCTCTACCAAAAATACAAAAATTAGCCAGACGTGGTGAGGAGCGCCTGTAATCCCAGCTACTTGGGAGGCTGAGGCAGGAGAATCGCTTGAACCTGGGAGGTGGAGGTTGCAGTGAGCTGAGATTGAGCTACTGCACTTCGGCCTGGGTGACAGAGCAAGACTCATCTCAAAAACCTAAATGAACAAATAACCATAAAAATAGACAACCAGCACCCGTCTGTGCTGCTCTGCCTATGGAGTAGACATTCTCTCATTCCTTTAATAATCTTGCTTTCACTTAATGAAACTTACGGACACACCTCAACTTCTTGCTTGCTTAAGATCCAAGAACCCTCTCTTGGGTCTGGATGGGGACCCCTTTTTAGGAACAAGATCATTTTAATAAGAAGGACACAGTCTCAGTAAGGAAGGCTTGTGTCCTGGAGGCCACCCACAGGTCCTAGAGGCTGCCTGTGGCTTCCTGTCACACAAGATTTCTCAACATAGCTCCTTACTTTATCAAGCCAGCAATGAGTTAAATTCCAGTCTGCCAAAAGAAAATCTTAAATAATGTAATCATGGCAGTGACTTTCCATAGACGTTGCCTTATGCTATTGGTTAGATCAAGTCACAGATGCCACCGTCACTGGAGGGGAGAAGATAGAAGACATGAACCCCAGGGGGTGGGACTCACTGGGGTCACCCAGGAATATCCTGGATTTGTCTGCAACTGAAACTCATGAGATATTTGATATAAAGTTTAAAGCACTTATCATGATATTATGTAGTGATGCACAGCTTGCAGTAAGCCGAGATCCTGCCACTGCACTCCAGTCTCAGGGACAGAGTAAGACCCTGTCGCAAAAAAAAAAAAAAAAAAAAAAATGTAATTTCCAGTTCAAAAGAATGAAAGAAAATTTAATGCTATTTCAACATTCTTTATACATTCTCTTCTGTTACCATAGTGCACTATGTATTTCCGACTAGTGTTATATTATTGTTATTGGTTTATTATCTCTTAGGCCTTGAGCTTCTCTTTTCTTTTCTTTTTCTTTCTTTTTTTTTTTTTTTTTTTTTTTTTGAGACAGTCTCATACTGTTGCCCAGACTGGAGTGCAATGGCGCGATCTCAGCTCATTGCAACCTCTGCCTCCTGTATTCAAGTGATTCTTCTGCCTCAGCTTCCTGAGCAGCTGGGACTACAGGTGTGTTCCACTATGCCTGGCTAATTTTTGTATTTTTAGTAAAGACAGGGTTTCACCACGTTGGCCAGGGTGGTCTTGAACTTTTGACCTCAGGTGATCCACCCGCCCTGGCCTCCCAAAGTACTGGGATTACAGGCGTGAGCCCCGGAGCCAGGCCAACCTTGAGCTTTTCAAGATTAAGGATGATGTCTTTTCTTTTCCTTATCCACAATCTCCTATACAGTTCTTGCTGGTACATAATACATTCACAATAAATGAGTTGTTAGGGCTCTCTTTATTATTTATTTAGAGTCAGGGTCTCCATTGTCCAACCTTCCAGGCCTCTGCCACCTTCAGCCACTCTTACAAGCAACTTTTCTCAGAGCTAACCCTGGGAAGAGTCAGGTTTCCTATGAAGTGTATACACACACACACACACACACACACACACACCCCTCTGAAGTATGGATGGCAACTTGTTGGAAGATTAAACCTAGTAAAGTTGCTCACCTGTAAAGCATGTGTGTTTGCTTGTATACAATCAGAAGAATAAACCATTTAAGGAGAAAAAAAATAGTTTTTTATTGCTGTTGTTTTAGTAGAACCACAGAGCTCACCAAGAGGAAAAGATGTGGGGTTAGGAATTTAGACCCTCTCTTTGTAAATCTGGCCAGGCACTGTGGGAGGCCAAGATGGGTGGATCACCTGAGGTCAGGAGTTGGAGACCAGCCTGGCCAACATGGTGAAACCCTGTCTCTACTAAAAATACAAAATTTAGCTGGGCGTGGTGCTGGGCACCTGTAATCTCAGACTGGAGTGCAGTGGCAGCAATCTCTGCTCACTGCAGCCTCCGCCTCCCAGGTTCAAGCAATTCTCTTGCTTCTGCCTCCCAAGTAGCTGGGATTGTGGGCGCTTGCTATCACGCCTGGCTAATTTTTGTATTTGTATTAGAGTCAGGGTTTCACCATGTTGACCAGGTGGGTCTCAAACTCCTAACCTTAGGTGATCTGCCCACCTCGGTCTCCCAAAGTGCTGGGATTACAGGTGTGAGCCACCGTGCCTGGCTGTTTGATGTTTTCTAGATGTGGACACTATGATTTTCAACCTGTTTTTATAGAGAAGTTCAGTTGCTTGGCACTGGAGCTCCACAAGGTTAGGACCAAGGGAGGCAGACCTGAAACAGCAAATCACCCAGCACCGCAGGACACCGAGTCAGCGCCTCCGCAGATTTTGAGCCCTAAGTGCCTCACTTTGCCTCTCCCTAGACCCAGCACCACAGCAAAGTGTTGAATTACCTCCTTAGGTTTATTACCTCCTAGACTAGGGCAAAATAATTTTATTTGGGTTTCCGGATTTGAAGGTCAGTAGCTTGAAGTCAATTAGCTTTCCTTTACCAGTGTCTAGTCTGTTTGGCCTACTATCACAACACACCTTTGTTTGGGTCATGTATAAACATCAGAACTCCATTGCTTACAGTCTAGAGGCTGAGAAGTCCAAGATCAATGCACTGGCAGATACCTCATAGGTTAGGGTCTGTGCCTCATACAAGAGACCCTCTATGTGTCCTCACAAGGCAGAAGCCCTCTCTGGTCTCTTTCATAAAGACACAATAAATGTGTAAATTTATAAAGACGATACAGGCACAAAATTCCACAGATGAATTTGGGGCAGGGCACAAACATTCACACCATAGCAACCAGTACAATCAAATTAAATGATCATCCTGTTTAATCTACCAAACATTGCCAGAAACGGTGCCCAGCCTTACAGAAAGACACTTGCAAAGCCCCTGGTTTTCTTGAATAGGTAACTTTGACCTTCTTTTTTAAAAAAATATTTATTTATTTTTAGAGAGTGCTCTGTTGTCCAGGCTGGAGTGCAGTGGCTTGATCTCGGCTTGCTACAGCTTTTACCTCCTGGGCTCAAGAGATCCTCCCACCTCAGCCTCCCAGTAGCTGGGACTACAGGAACGGGCCACTACACTCGGCAAATTTTTGTATTGTTTTGTAGAGACAGGTTCTCGTTGTGTTGCTCAGGCTGGTCTCGAACTCCTGGGCTGAAGCGATCCGCCCACCTCGACCTCCCAAAGTGCTGGGATTACAGGTGTGAGCCGCCGAACCTGGCCTAAATAGGTGACTTTGAATGCGCTCCATTCCTTGTCCAGTTGGAGAAGCAGAAAGTTTCCAATGTCTTGAAGAAGAGGGCCGCCGCAGCTTTCCCGAGAACTTTCCCCAGGGCCGTGGCCTCAGGCGGACTGCGAGCCGGGATCACCAACCAGGGGCGGTCCAGTGTTCTCACAACCCGGGCCCCACGTGTTTGTAAACAGGGCGTAGGTGAAAACCCGGATCCCAGCTGGCTCCGCCTGAGCGCTCCCGAGCTCGCCCGCGCGACCTCCTCCTCGCGATCCGCTCTCCGGGTCTTCCCGGCGCCCAGGCAGGGGCTCACGGGGAGAGGGGAAGCGGCGCTGCGGTCCGCGGGGCGAAGGCTGCTCCGCGCCAGGTGAGTGCGAGCGCCCCGTCTCCTCTGGCCTCGGCGGTCGCTTGGTGGGGACAGGGGCTTGATCCTGAGACGCGGAAAGATGCTCTTCTGGTCCCACGAAAGCTGGGACGCTGCCTCCGGGAAACGCCCTCTGCGCCGAGTATGGAGTGCGTGTAAGAGACGGAGTCGTGTGTGCGAAAGAATCCAAGTCTGTGTTGGGGGCTTAGCGGCGCTTGGGCGGAGCCGCTGCCGGGGAATGAAGCCCGGTCCGCGCGGCGGGCGGCGGGCGGCGGGTCCGAGCCTCCGCTGGAGCCCGGAGGAGGAGCGCGGGCTCTAGGCGCCGCAGCCTGGGACTGACGCTTCCTGGCGCCGCCACCTCCCGCGATCGGCCTCCTCCCCCGGCCCGCGGCCGACTATTCCAGAACCTAATCCGCCTTGGCGGGGCGCGAACTGCCTTGTTCTCCCCTCGGTCTCCCCGGAATC